CCCGTCTACCTTTTGCCTCTGGGCTTTTACCTTTCTTTATTCTATACACCTCTTCTTCCTTCTTACTCTGTGGCTGGCTGTGTTGCTGGGTGGCTGGTCCCTGGCGTCCTCCTCTCCTTTTTCACTCCTCCCTCTTCTCTTTTTCTTCCCTCTTGTATTTATTCTCTCTGCATGCCAGCCCCGCCTATCCTTTCTCTCTTGCCTAACTATTGGCTGGTCAGCTCTTTATTAGACCAATCAGATGTTTTAAACAGGCATAGTAACATAGCTTCAGAGTTAAATAAATGCAACGTAAAAGAATGCAACACATCTTTGTATCATTAAACAAATATTCCACAGCATAAACAAATGTAACACATCTTCAACTAATATTCCACAACATTTCCCCCTTTTGTCTAAATAAAAATGAAAGGTTTTAACTTTGACATAGTAAAACTATATACAACAAAAACAGTTATCAAGTAAGAATCACATTTACAATATTCAGTCCATTTGTATTTAGCAAACTCAGAGAAAATATTCCATTGTCTATCTTTTCTTAGTGAGTCCAAAGTTTTACACCTAACTTGCTTTCTATCATAACTAAGGAAAATTATAACTCTAACTATTTAGTCTTTAACTCCATCAAAGACCCCAGAAGGATGTAATATTACCTAACAACAGAGACACCTAGCTGCCTGGACAGTCACCCAAAGTTCTTCTGCAATGTTGGGACATCCATCTTCAGCCTACAGGCCTAGAATATCTTGCAGATTCTTCTGTGAAGCAGGAATCTTGAAGAACTATCCTGCTTTGTCTTGGCAAAGTTCAACAGTCTTTTTCCTGTGTCCTTGCCACATTGAAAGCAAACTCCATATGGAGTTTCTTCTATGCCCATCATCCTTTTATGAAGAAATTGGTGTCGCCAGGAGCAGATGTGTCTCATTGTCATGAAAAACAATAGATTATTAAACATCTTAAATGCCATATTCTGTAGGTCTTTGAAGTGTTTGAAAATCATCTGTCTAAAATATACCTGTTTAACCTTGAAAACATAGCTAATGTGACTACAAGTTTGATTATTATAGATCAACTACTAACCTCGTTTCTTAATTATACATTGCATTTTTAAATGAGCTTCATAAGCACAATACCCCAAACAAGAGTAGAAACATATATACAGTGTAATGAAAATAACTTTAGATTTGTATCAATATACCAAAATCCATGCCAATGCAAAATATCTGAGATTAATAGTTGTCTTTTTATCCTGTATTCCCCTAAATGATAACAAACATCCATAGTCCACCAAATAACCAGCAAACACTCATTAACCCAACTCTTGGGAATGTGAGTGGCATTTTCTTTAGGTTAGACTGCTTCCTGTTGTCTGTGGGCAAAGGCATCTTTAGGAGTCCCTGAAAAAATTCATATAATAGCCAAGTCCTAGGAAGACCAGCTGTAACCTTTGTTGATATATATCACCTGTCAAGATTCAGGAGGTCTTCCCCATCAAACCTGATCCATATCAACCCTGAAGGAATCCACAGCCTCTCATTTCCTATGGAAACAAAAGCAAAACCTCTTCTCTAAAGCAATGCATTTTTTGAGTTCCATTTTGAAGTTAAGGCATTCTTAAAATATCTAGGCTGGATTATTTCAGCAGTCCTTTCAACCCCATGCCTCTCAGCAGCTGATGTTTGCTTATCAGCAATCAAAATATTCAAAATCAACACAGTAACATACATGATCCAGACTTCCAGTGTATTTTCCATCTCTATGTGGCTTATTATTTTTTATATTACTTTACTTCTCTCTTTAAAAACTTTATTATTTTTAAATTATTTACTTCTTTTTATGACTGTCTATATCCTTTTTCTTTTCTTCAGCCTATGTACATTGTTAAACACACTGGAACCTGTTGAGAGGTTTTTTTTCCATCTGGACCTGTTTTACTGTGTATCTCTAGTCTTTTTCTTTTCTTTTTAAACTATATGAACCTTTAAACTGCTAAGGGGTGGCCTTTGCCAGCTTTAGCAGCTGGCTCTGCTGGCTTCTTGGGTGTGTGACTGCCAAGCCTAAAGCTTGAGGCCTGGTCAGAGGTGCAGGACTGGGAACTGCATTCAATCCCCCAGAACTCTAGAATGCTGATGCTTGAGCTGTGGCATTTTTTTGCTTAACTCCCCCCCCCACCCCACCCCCGCCACCACACACACACACCTTAATGTACTGGCTGCTCAAGGGCTTGCTGTAAGGATTCCTGTCCATTTTTTTTTTTTTTAAAGCTTTCTCGGGCCCTAGGAAATTCAAACTTCATGTTGGTACGTCAAAATGTAGTTGGTTATGTTTTACTCTTTGCTCTTTCGGGGCCTGCCACCCAGCTCCCAAATAAATACACAGAGACTCATTCTTACTTATGAATGCCTGGCCTTAGCCTGGCTTGTTTCTAGCCAACTTTTCTTAACTTAAACTGTCCCATCTACCTTTCACCTCTGGGCTTTTACCTTTCTCTGTTCTCTGTTCCTTTCTTTCCTTCCTTCTCTGTGGCTGGTTGTGCAGCTAAGTGGCTGGCCCCTGGTGTCCTCTTCTCCTCCTTTTCTCATTCCTCCTCTTCACTCTTCTTCTATTTATTCTCTCTGCCTGGCAGCCCAGTCTATCCTTTATCTTCTGCCTTGATATTAACCATTCTGCTCTTTATTTGACCAATCAGGTGTTTTAGACAGACAAAGTAACACAGCTTCACAGAGTTAAACAAATGCAACATAAAAGAATACAGCACATCTTTGCAGCATTAAAACAAATATTCCACAGCATAAACAAATATAACACATCTTAAACTAAATATTCCACAACATGTAGATGTGATTTTTAGCTGCATTAGACTATTTAAAGGATTAAAGTTTTCCAAACTCCAAGATAAGTGCAGTCTATTTTTTTAAAGTAAACATATAAAACAGAATTTACTATATTTTCATTTCCTTATTGCTGGTTCCTACCCAAAGATGTGCGCGCGCGCGCGCGCGCACACACATGCACACACACATACACACACGCACACACAAATCAAATTGGGGACTGGAGAGAAGGCTCAGCAATTCAAAGCACTGGCTGCTCTTGCAGAGGGCCCAGATTCAATTAATAACACTTACATGTCAGCTCACAACTATTTGTAACTCGAGTTCCAGGGGATCTGACACCCTCTTCTGACCTGTACACACCAGGCATGCACATAGTGCACAGACATACATTCAGGCAAAGTATCCTTATGTACAAAATAAAACAAATTTAAAGTAAAAAATTAATGCAGCTTCAATGAACTGTGTGAACTGAAGACATTTCTTGCTTCCCTCCTACTTCTGCTACAAGTATTAGAATTCTGTTTTGATGATACACAGACTTCTAATTAGACACCTAACTATCTACAGTAGACAAACGGGCACAGGACAGGTGAGTGGCTCTGCTTAGAGCTGCGTTTGGGGGCAGTATGTCTGAGCTGATGGGTTGTTAGGACTTGTGTACCTGAACTCAACCTATGAAAGGTTGATGGGAGTCATTCAAACATGAGTAGGAGTTGAATACCTTCAGTGGTTTTATATCCTACTGTGTGCTGCCTCTGCTGGGAACTATCCCTGTCATGAACCTGACTTTTATTAGATTAGGAGTCAATGAGGTTAGAACAAGAAAATGAATGATTTCCAATGCATTCTTTGGGTATTTCAAAATGTTGCTTATTAATAGTTCCTATTTTGTTATCTTTTCTGAATCAGATTATTCCTGTGATATTATTGACTTGGATGGTTTTTGATTGGTTGGTTGGTTGGTTGGTTTTGTTTTGTTTGTGAGACAGGGTCCCTATATAGTCTTGACTGACCTAGAACTCACAGATACCCACCTGCCTCTGCTTCCTGAGTGCTGGAATTGAAGGTGTGTGCCACCATTCCCAGCTAACTTGGATATTTTAATGATACTTTGTGATTTTTATTTTGCAATTTCATGTCATTAAAAAGTTGTGTGAAGTTTCACACAGTTTGCTGAAATTTATGCAAGAATCAGTTTTACTCTAAGAAATCCCCATGGAAACACTGATGTTGTGTGATTTTTGCTGGTCACAGGTTTCAATAGTTACAACAGCACCTAGGAAAGTAAAGAATTGGAGCAGATTTCCTGACAAAGTGAAAATAAGTGTCAGGAAGCAGAGCCCAGTGACACGTGCCTTTAACCTCAGCACGCAGGAGGACTGACATGAGTTCCAGTCAAGCCTGGGCTACTCAGATCTGGTCTCAAAAATAAGTAAATAAACTCATATCAGAATACTCTGGGCATTTGCATTATCTAAGTTTTATTTTTGTGAGTTAAGTTACCACTCAGAAGGCAGCGACTTACACATATAATAAACTGGTTAAGATGACGTAGTCTATAAAGTCTCCTTTCAAGGGTACAGACTTAACAATTGTTTTAGAAATGTTTTCTTAATACTGTTTAATTGTCCCCTTACTTAATAAATAATTGATGTTGGCAACTAGGTTATAGACAAGCATATAATAATTAAGATACCATACCTCTATCCATTCATTTATTTAAAATTTTATGTGTGTGAGTGAGTGTGGATTTGTGCATGAGAGTGCAATTCCTGAGGAGGCCAGAGTCACCTGATGCCCCTGGAGCTGAATGTGGATGCTGGAAGCTGAGCTTATGTCTCTGCAAGAATATCGCAGGTCTTAACTGCTGAGCCATCTCTCCAGTCACTATGCCTTTGTTTCTTGTTGTTTGTTATGCTTTGTTTTGTTTTTCTAAGACAAGCTTTCTCTGTGTTGCCCTGGCTACCCTGGAACTCACTCTGTAGATCAGGCTAGCCTTGAACTCCACAGAGAGCCACCTGCCTCTGCCTCCTGAGTGCTAGGATTAAAGAAATGTGCCGCCACCACCTGTCTTTGTTTTTATGTATATCATCTTTTAACATTATGCATGCCTTTGAAACAGCCTTACTTTAAAATCATCTTTTTAAATTCTATTTTTAATAGAAAAAGTTACGCCGATCACAACATGCTCGTAAAGAAACAGAGTTCTTACGGCTCAAGAGGACCAGACTTGGCCTGGATGACTTTGAGTCTCTGAAGGTTATAGGGAGAGGAGCTTTCGGAGAGGTGAGCTGCTTTGTTCACGTCACCACTGTTGAAAGTAGATGCAATAAATGTTTAAATATAGTTCCTAAGCTCGAGGTCATAGGTCAGTTGTTGGTAAGAGTGCTTGCCTAGTATCCACAAAGAGCCCTGCATTTGACTCAGTATCATAGATACCAGGTGTGCCTTGGAGGAGGTGGGAATAGGGGGTGCATTGGGGGGGAGGGCTCGGGGGGAGGAGGGAGGACGGGGGAATCCGTGGCTGATATGTGAAATTAAGTTAACTATAAAATAAAAATATTAAATAAATAAAATTAAAAAAAAGAAACCAAGTGTGATGGCACACCTCTGTATCTTAGCCCTTGGGAGATAGAGGCAGGAGGATCGGAAGTTCAAGATCATCCACAGTTACATAATAAAAAGTTCAAGGCCAGCCTGGGCTGCACTAGACCCCTGCTTCCCATCAGTGTGGGGACGGTGTAATTTTTTTGATATCGTTGGTAGTAAATTCTAAGGTTCAGTAAAGGAAGCACTTAGGTTTGTGCTCTAGGTGCGGCTGGTCCAGAAGAAGGACACGGGGCACATCTATGCCATGAAGATCCTGAGGAAAGCTGACATGCTTGAAAAGGAGCAGGTGAGTCTCACACGTACAGTGCCAAAGGCCTCTCGTGAGAGGACTCAGAGTAGTGTTGATGTTGAAAATTATAAAAAGAAATCTAGCTTACTAAATTTATAGTCTATTTTAGCGTTTTCAGTTTACAGGTTCAAATTTCAGCTTCTCCAACTTTATAATGTCTGTGTTAGTTTGCTCAGTTGCTATTAGAAAGCGACACAGGCTGGACCATAAACAACAGAAGCCATTGCTTTTTCGTGGTTCTGTTCAAGGTCAAAAAGTTCAGTAGCTTTTAGTGTCTGATGGAGCAGACCCAGGATCCCATGAGCACTGCTGCTGTCTCCTCCTGTAAGAGCACTGGTCCCATCACAGCACACCAGAGTCTGCTGACTGCAGAGAGGCTTAAGGAGATAAGCGGAAGTACACAGCTTCCTTGGGTCTGCATATTTAATGAGAGGATCAACGTCTGTGTTTCAGTACTTTCTAAAACTGCAGACTTCCTGCATGACTGTTAGGGATGGATGATTGGAACAGGTCAGTTATCTTTTCAAAACATGCTCATCCAGGTGGCTCATATCCGAGCAGAAAGAGACATTTTGGTGGAAGCGGACGGTGCCTGGGTGGTGAAGATGTTCTACAGTTTTCAGGACAAGCGGAATCTCTACCTGATCATGGAGTTTCTTCCTGGAGGTAAATAGCAGAGGCAGACAGACCAGAGCTCATCTGCATATGGAATAATTTTATCTGCCTATGCAGTAAGAATGTCAGCTAGTTTTACTACTGAATTTTATTGCGTTTAAACATAGCCATCGTTTTTCAGTATTTCCTTCCAGAACAGTGGAAGATGATTTGGCCACAGACCATGTAGTTTTGAAGGACTATTAGGATGACATCTTATATACTGCCGTTCTGTGTTCACTGTAGCCCAGGGTAGAGCTAAGGGACGTAAGTCTGTATCCAGAAAGACAGAATTCTGGTTTCCAGGTGTGCTTGTTCAGGCTTGGTGCTTCTGAACTCTGCTCTGCCCCTGGTAACTTCACATGCACCCCACTGACACCATTGCATGCACTTTGCAAGGTGGTTTGAGGTACTGGGCAAATCATGAAACTGCAGATCTGACATAGTCTGCACGTATGAAGGGAGTCTGAAGAGAGTCCCTTTAACTAGGTACGTGCTACCACACACCCATAATACCAGCACTAGGGTTCCAGACAGTTACTAACGTTCATGAAAAGTGGACCTGTGACTGAGGCTTCGGGTCTGTTGTAGCTAAAGTTTTCCTGCCTGGCCCACAGTCAGGACAAATCTCCCTCACCTGCCAGTCCCACAGACGCTCAGACCCGACCAAGTAAACACAGAGACTTATATTGGTTACAAACTGTATGGCCGTGGCAGGCTTCTTGCTAACTGTTCTTACAGCTTAAATTAATCCATTTCCATAAATCTATACCTTGCCACGTGGCTCGTGGCTTACCGGCATCTTCACATGCTGTTTCTCATCGTGGCAGCTGGCAGTGTCTCTCTGACTCAGCCTTCCACTTCCCAGCTTTATTCTCCTCCTTGTCCCGCCTACACTTCCTGCCTGGCCACTGGCCAATCAGTGATTTATTTATTGACTAATCAGCAACACACTTGCCATACAGACCATCCCACAGCAGTCTGTCATCTCACACCAGCAAAGACTAAAGCTGTTGACCCCAGTGGTGAACAAAGCAGGAGGAGGGTATCAGAAAAGTGAGAAATTGGGATGGATGCAGGAAGCTGAGGTGAATCACCTCAGTTTGCAGTACCTTGGTACTTTGCCTTCCTTACACAGGTGACATGATGACGTTGCTGATGAAGAAGGACACCTTGACGGAAGAGGAGACACAGTTCTACATCTCAGAGACTGTCTTGGCGATCGACGCAATCCACCAGCTGGGCTTCATCCACCGGGACATCAAGCCAGACAACCTTTTACTGGATGCTAAGGCATGTGAGGGGCGAGAGAATCCTTAGGCTTCTTGCCATGAAGAACTACCGGTTTCCTGGCTACAGATAGCAACCGTGGTTTAGGTTGTTTTGGATTAACTAAGTTTTTTCATAGAAGGCATATATAAGTGACTGTTCTGAAATAACATCACGGGAAATGGCTTTTAAAAAAAAACTCACTCTGTTTTCCATTAAAATGGAAAATCATCAACATGCATAATCTCACATTTTCAGCTATATATGTTTTAGGTTAAGAATTTTTTATAATAATTGCATTAAAGGAGTTTATAATAAGGCTTTTTTGTTTTCAGAGTTAACATAATTTGACCTGACTGTAATTTGTTGCTCTAGGGGCATGTAAAATTGTCTGATTTTGGTTTGTGCACGGGGTTAAAGAAAGCGCACAGGACTGAGTTCTACAGAAACCTCTCACACAACCCACCAAGTGACTTCTGTAAGTTTGCACTTTCCCGTTGGCTGAAATCGTATGGTTTAGAAACTTTAGTTCTGTGAGGCAGGGAGGCTCCGTCCTCCTCCTGAGTTGCCCACGTTTCAGATGTAGGTATGAGTTTCCTATTTTGTCAGTTTGCCCCTCTGATTGCAGTTGTGTCTTGTTGAAATTAGCGTTTCAGAACATGAACTCGAAACGGAAAGCGGAGACCTGGAAGAAGAACAGGAGACAGCTGGTGAGTTCTGAGGAATGTTGTGCCCTGGATCTAGAGTCACCAGAGGTCAGCTGAGACAGTGATTCTAGAGCTCACTCTCTCCTGCCAGTGAAGATTAAAGACTCAGACACTTGTGGGAGTGAATAGAGCAGCAGCCTGTTTTGTTAAGGAGGTTTCAGAACAGAGAACTGAGGAAAAGTGAGAGAAGCCCAGTAGAGAGAGAGAGAGAGAGAGAGAGAGAGAGAGAGAGAGAGAGAGAGAGAGAGTGTGTGTGTGTGTGTGTGTGTGTGTGTGTGTGTGTGTGTGTGTGTGTGTGTGTGTGTGTGTGTGTGTAGGGGGCGTTCCTGAGAGGGGAGCGGCTGTTGAGATTCCTCTTAGGGCTGTGGCAGAAACTGGTCACTGAAGCTGGCCAGTTCTCTGGGCTGTCATGGGCTGAGCCTGTGGAGTTCTTCACGTGCTGCCCACCCACTTAGTTGTGGTTGAAGCCCGCTCTCTCCGTCTGTGACTGCAGCTTTACTAGGTCCTGCCCGTGACTGTCGGTCACTGTTGACACTGGACCAGCCTGCTGTCCCCCACTTGCAGTGATTACACTGAGATGTCTGTTCCCACAGCCTCGAAAAGAAGCCGCAGTTGTGCTTGGTTAGCTGTCAGTGGGTTGGTCTGGGGTGTCACACCTTCCTGAGGTAGGTGGGGTTTGCTGGAAGCTATCTCTACCTCAGCTGTGAGTTAGAAGCAAGCAGATGTAAAGAGCCGTAGAGCCCAGCATACACTCCTGAAGGAGAGGGTCTCCCGGAGCCGCAGCGGCCACCAACACTGGCCTTTCTTTCAGATCCTAAGTCTCTTTTAAACTCTCTTTTAACACAGGTGCCCTTGGCTGTGTCCAAACCAGCTACAAGCTCTGTGTTTCTCATCCTGGTGTTTGACTCGGCTGTTTTAACCCACATCTTCCTTTGAACTCCTGTTTTCACCATGGCCTTATTCCCTTACCGCCTACAGAGCACTGCAGAGGAGACCTCTCTTCTGTAGCTAGTGTTCTCATTGCCCCAGCGTGGTGTAGCGGTCTTTACAGTTAGCTTGGGGTGTCGGCAGTGGTGCAGCCCCTGATGTGGGGTGTCTGTCACAAAGCTGTTGTTTCCCTGTGGTTTTAGTGGATATAAGAATTGCTTCCTCCCTCTCCTCTTCGCATTTATGTAATTAATTATGTGATTATATGTAATTAACTGAGGTGTGAACATTCACAGTTAGGAATGCGGCTTTGACTTTGTCTTCCTGGTTTCTTGCACAGTGCCCCGCCCGTGCAGACACCTTGTCAGTTCAGTGACAAAGCTGCTGACTCCCGTTGTCCCCCTTCCCTGAGGACGTGCTAGAGTCAGGTGACAACAGCCTGGCGCCTCATTCCAGTTCATTTGTCCATTGGCCTAGGTAGCAGCAAACTTCATAGTCTAGTAAACGTCTCAGAGTGTTTGTTTGTTTAAGATTTATTTATTATGTATACAATGTTCTGTCTGCATGTATGCCTGCAGGCCAGAAGAGGGCACCAGATCCCATTACAGATGGTTGTGAGCCACCATGTCATTGCTGGGAATTGAACTCAGGACCTTTGGATGAGCAGTCAGTGCTCCTAACTGCTGAGCCATCTCTCCAGCCCACTTTTCAGAGTTTTAAAAGTGTGCTTAGCTGTGCATTAATGAAGAAAACTTCATTCTGTTTTTGATTATGCCATTTTAGTAAAAGGCGAAAGATTTGATTATGCCATTTTAAATCAGATGTTACATTTGAGAAATGATTACAGTCTTCCTGTTCTTAAAGGGGAAGAAGTGAATACTGCTTAAAAGTTTGTCTGAGGGGTGAGCGTGGGTGCTCACCTGTGACCCACTACTTAACAGGCTGTAGCAAGGCCATTCTGAGTTCTGAGTCCAGCCTGGCTTCACAGTGAGACCCTATCTTAAAAAATACATAAAAACATGGCAGAGGATTTCTTTATCTCCTACTGAGAGTCATCGTAGGTCAGTGGCTTCCCAGAGATCGATGTCTGGGTCAGGAGATCCCTTCAGCCCACCAACTGCTGTTCTCGTCTCCTAGTCCTTGAAGTGACGTCTGCAGTCACATTTTCAGTGATTTCTACAGTAATGCCCCTGTTGAGAGCTGCTGACTTTAGGAATCATTTTGTAGGGTTTGATGTGGACTGAAGAGGAACATGCACAGTGTGACACACTGAAATTACGTTCTAAGGAAGGTAGCTTGGAGAGCATGTTCCTTTTCTTGTTTTACCTCCGATCAAGCTGTTGGATCTTTGGGGAGTAGAAGCCAAGGTTCAGAGTGTGGCTCACATGAGCAGTAAGCAGGCAAGTCAGGCTCACTTTTCCTTCCTTTTGAAGTCGACAGAGGGCCTCTCCTCGGCCCAGAACCCTGTCTTCTATACACAGTGCCTGACTCAGCATCTGTCAGCCAGCTTTACATGTAACACAAAGTCACCAATAAGTGAGAACTTGTCCTGTGTCTAGTGTTTCCTCCTGTAGTAATCCACACTCACGATCCTTAGGAGGTTCAGATGCCAGTTTGACAAGCTGTTCCTTTGTAGGCATACTCCACAGTCGGAACGCCAGACTACATTGCTCCAGAGGTCTTCATGCAGACTGGCTACAGCACACTGTGTGACTGGTGGTCCTTGGGGGTGATCATGTATGAAATGCTAATAGGTAGGTTCTGTGTATGTGCGTGATACGGATCTCTTCCGGTGCCATTGTTTGAACACACCATGTTCCAGCTATTAAAGACAGAAATAGCAGAGCCGTTTTGAATCTATTTCTCACATTCTTCAATGTTAAATACATATTGTTAAGTCCCCAATAAACTGCCCAGGGACCCTACGGCAGGAAGATAGTTATTTAGCTTGGCCTCCTTTATCAAATTCTGTATGTAGGGTTTAGATAAGACGAGGTGGGGCTTTAAATCCTTACAGACTTCGTTATTAATTCTATAGTAAATTGGTGCATGCTAGTGTTACTTCAGAGCACTCTGGGTTGTTTTGTTTCCCATGGCACAATACTTGTAGGTCTGGTTGAACTGATGACAAAAGCTGATGCATTTTTGTTGTTTCCCTGACACCCAGGCTTCCCACCTTTCTGCTCTGAGACCCCTCAGGAGACATACAGAAAAGTTATGAGCTGGAAGGAGACACTGGCATTTCCTCCAGAAGTGCCTGTCTCTGAGAAAGCCAAGGACTTGATTCTCAGGTTAGTGACTCTTAAAACTTCCCAGTGCCCAAATGATCCATTTCTCTGAGGCAGGGCAGGTGTTTGCGGGGAGAATGCCACTGATCTGGTCAGTTTAAAAAAAGGATTTACAAAATTCAAACTTTAAAAAAAATTTTTTTATTTTTATGTGTAAGTGTTTGGGTACCACTTGCTCATAGAGGCTAGAAGATCTATCCCTTGGAACTGGACTTGTAGGCAGTTGTGAGCCACCTAGTGTGGGTGCTAGGAATTGAACCCAGGTCCTCTGCAAGAGCAGCAAATGCTCTTAACTACCTGTTTCTCCTTCCCTACAAAATGCAAATACTTGAAGTTTGTGGAACAATGAGGTTCAGAAGAGAGATCTTGTTGGACATGCTGGTAGTATTATCAGAGTGTCACTTCTCTTAGACTTCAAGGAGTGAGTGTGTCAGAAACGAATGGAGACGAATGTATTAGAAGCAGAAGCTCCTGCCATGACAGCACACAGGAGCCTAAGCAGAAGACTGCTCGGAGGAGGTGTCTGCACTGCTGTGAGGGGAAGAAGGGATGCTGTAAAAAGGCTTTCTCTGTCCCTCCAGCCAGCTCCAAATAATGACATGGAGACTTCTTATTAATGAAAGCTTGACCCATAGCTTAGGCTTGTTCCTAACTAGTTCTTACAACTTAGATTAGTCCGTTTATATTAATCTGTGCCGTGGTGTTACCTCTCTTCTTGTACCTCCTGTTTCTTTTCCATATATCCTGGCTTCTCCTGTGTTCCTAGATTCCTCCTCCTCCTCCTCTTTTTGTTCTTCCTGGAAGTCCTGCCTATATCTCCTGCCTAGCTATTGGCCGTTCAGCTTTTTATTATGCCAATCACAGCAATATATCTTCACACAGTGTACAAATATCCCACAACAAGATATGAACTGTGACAACCCTTGTGAGTGGCCAGCTGACAGCATGTTGTATAAAATTGTTAAACTGTATGTGACCTTTGACCAGCAGTTTTATTTCTAGGAATTTAATAGAGCATATAACCATGTCGGGGCAAAGAGTTAGGCATGTTTCTTGTGTTATTTTAGTTGTGAAAAATTGGAACTCATATAAGTCTTCAGCAGCAGCGATGGATGTAACATTCTGATGTCTCCATACACAGGTCTCAAAAAATTACCTCACAGGAAAATACTGAACAGCATTGGGAAATTTTCTTGGTGTATTAAGTGAAAAAAAAAAGTCTTTAATCATTATTGTGTCAGCAGTGTTTTTAATATTATTACAAGAGATGAAAAGAAATGGCTTCAGAATGTTTCTTGGGTATCTGACTGGTAGGCTGATAGGTGATTTATATTCCCCACGTTCCCACAGTAAACTCAATAACGAAATTAAAATACTTCCTGAAAATATTTGAAGTAATACGTTAGAGTGTTTTAAGTGAAAAATGTGACTAATACTTGGTTTCCCTTTCTAGATTTTGTACTGATTCTGAGAACAGAATTGGGAATGGTGGTGTAGAAGAGATCAAAGGTCACCCCTTCTTTGAGGGTGTAGACTGGGGGCATATCAGGTATGTTCTGAGGCCTGGGCTGAGCAGTGAGCTTCTGAATCTGTGGTGATGTGCCTCTGATTCTTCTAGACCAGCGGTTCTTAACCTGTGGGTCAGGACCCTTTCACAGGGTTGCCTAAGACCATCAGAAAACACATATTTATATAATGAATCGTAACAGCAGCAAATTTACAGTTACGAAGTAGCAACGGAAAGTTTTATGGTTGAAGTCTCCACAGCACAAGGAACTGTATTACAGGGACGCAGTGTCAGGAAGGTTGAGAACCACTGTAAGACTAAACAAGAGGCAGCTGCCTCAGCTGAGATGTACGTCACCTGTTGTCACAGAGCTGAGGCAGCTGCCTAAATTCACAGCATGGTAGGGACAGGGAAGGTTGGGTCACACAGGCCCCTCTTTCAACTCAGTTGAGTCTTAATGAAGCTTCCGTAGTCATCATGCCTGGGTCTAGAAGGTCTAGGTAGGACACCATGGACAAGATTAGCAGTTCCTCAGGGTAAGATGGAAAAATGTATAGTCTGTACTCGTGAAAGTACTGGGCACATAGTAGGACTTCCAGGGAAGGCACATAAGTTAATTATTCTTAGTTAAGAATAATTCTTATACAGACATGCATAGTACCTGCTCTTTCATAATTTGGCAGGCTTAACACCTAGTAGATCCTTTAAACATTTTGTTGGAAAAAAATAAATAAAGCTGATAAGGGGCTGTTGAAGTGACTCAGCAGGAGAAGCCTGAAGATCTGAGTTCAGTCCCCGGTCCTGCGTGGTAGGAGGAGAGAGCCAACCCCTGAATGCTGTCCTCTGACTCTACACTTGCAGGGGTGTGTGTGTTGTCCCCTAACCTCTACACTTGTGGTCTGCATGTGTGTGTGCACTGAACGCTGTCCTCTTGACTATACACTTGCAGTGTGTGTGTGTTGTGTACATGAACGTTGTCCTCTGACCTCTACACTTGTGATGTATGCAAGTGCAAGTGTGCATAGTGATTAAATAGATAAATAGAACTTAAAGTTTTTTTTAACTTAACCTCTCTGGTTATCTTAAAATTTATACGACTGATAAGTTACTGCATTCAGATTTTATCACAAATATATGTGTATCCCCTCTTTTGCAGATAGATGTCTGTGTTCAGTAATCTTCACTAGATTGTAGCCCTGACTCACTTAGATAGATCTCACTGCTTCCCACGTACTCAATACCACTATAAAATCTCAGTAAAATGCCTTCTCTTAGTGGGGGTAGTGGCATACACCAGCTCTTAGGAGGTAGAGGCAGCCAGATCTCTTTGAGTTCAAGGATAGCCTGGCCAAAGAGTGAGTTCCAGGATAGCCAAGGTTACACAGAGAAAAACCTGTCTCAAAATAAACAAACAAAAACCCCAAGTTCCTTCTCTTCTAATTTTCCTTTCACTGGGTCTTGTTTTTTCACCTGAACAAAAAATAGCATGAAGAGACTATCTTAGTGGTAGAGTATTTATTTGCCTAGCTGTTGTTCAGTCTCCAGTACTACAGGGGGAAAAAGCATGAGAAAGTCTTCATGCAAAAGTGTAAAACTTCCAAGTAAATGCAAACATTTTAGTAAAAAATTACAGTCAGCTATCTTGACATCCACTTAACTGTTCAGATCCATAGCAGACACCCTTAGGTTTCCTGTCCCATGCAGTGGTGGGCAGGAGTTCAAGAAAATTTACCATGGATGATGAATTGCCTTTTTCAGGGAAAGGCCGGCAGCCATCCCTATAGAAATCAAGAGCATTGACGACACCTCAAACTTTGATGACTTCCCCGAGTCTGATATCTTACAGCCAGGTAAGACAGGCTCCCAGCATGTCCCACGCTGCAGTCACCTGTGAGGTGACAGGTGACAGGTATCACTAATGAAATCCCTTTGCCCTTAGTTAACTTTTCTCTCCTTCTAGTGCCGAACACCACAGAGCCCGACTACAAATCCAAAGACTGGGTTTTTCTCAATTACACCTATAAAAGGTTTGAAGGGCTGACTCAGCGCGGCTCCATCCCCACGTACATGAAAGCTGGGAAATCATGAAGGATGGTCACAGTCACCCGCAGCCAGAACTCAGGTAGCTGCATCTCCAGGCTGGCTTGGCATCAACCCCAAACACTCCCAGGATGCTGGTGCTCACCAGCCCGAGGAACTTCAACAGGGTGGATTCTGAGACGACCATAGGAATCGCTAGGGTTTTTTTTTTTTTTTAATATTATTTGTATTGACTTTATTATACAAAGGTACTGGAACAAAAGGAACGGATATTCCCTCCTAACTGCACTGCCTATGTGCATGTTGAGGTCCATTCTGCCCGTGTTCTGCGCTTCCAACTGCAACACTAATCCAGCCAGAACTGCGTAGCACTGAGCGCCATGGCAGCCTGAGGTCGGTCACTCTTGGTGTCCCTGCTTCTCTGCAAAGCTCGTGGGTCTTGAATCAGTAAAAGCATCTGTAGCTGCTGTAGACCATTCGCCGTGTTGGTTTGGATGCTGTGGGCTCTACGTGAAGACAGTTTCTGTAATGGTCCTAAGGAGAAGGACACTGACGTCAACATGAGAATTTCCTGTCAGGCTCTCACACAGACCCTGGGGTAGGGAAGGTGATCTTCTGTCAGGGTGAGAACATGTCTCACCTTCACTCCAGCATCCTCCCAGGCTGACTGCTCTGAGTAGTGACGACTGTTTTGCACACGTAAGGAGATGGACTACTGTCCTTGAGCAAATGTCAGTTACTTTTCTTGTGATCCAAGGACTTCTTTTTTAACAAGAGGACAGGCATTATTTTAACTGGGTGATGGTGAGTTGAGTTTCATAAATGACCATGAAAGCTGCTTGTAGACATAGTGTATTTTTATTAAACTATTTTTTTAAATGTCAAACTTCTGATCCTGTCAATGGACACGTGGAGAACAAGAGTGTGACTCACTTTGGCTTTCTGCAAAGTCAGTGTGTGTCATTGCTGGTAACCTTTGTTTCCTTTGGTAGCTTTAGTGCCATTGTTTTCCAATGAACCAAAGATCCTGAACAGTGGCAGTCAGTGGTGAGTGGAATTCCACTTTCCAGGGGGTGCTACACTCCATGTGACAGACTTTTAACAGGCCAGCCCTGTTCATGGTTAGTTCATCACTGTGGTTGAATTCCACAATGGAGTAATGGAAGCGGGTACAGGCCGGGGAGGGGCGGGGGTGACTGGAGATTGGGCAGAAAACGTCAGCATCAGATTCCTCGGGTATTTATCTGATGATTGCATCACCTTTTCTTGCTCAGCATTTTGACTCTAAAACAACGTGCTAAGTTGTAGTTGAGAAATAACTTCTCAGCAAATGGCTAATGTTTATCATCTGTGATGGAGATGGAATGAGGATTTATTAGGAGGAATGTCTCATGGGGGGACTGAGCAATGCCTTGTGCGAATTTCCAAAAGCTTTTATAACACTGCTGCTGGATGACCCCTTTTTCATCAAGGCCATCAGCTCTTGAAGTATTTTGGTGAATTGCTGGGTCTGGTGAGTACTCTCCACCTGTTAGTCTACTGGCTTAACTGTACCCTGATCCTGTGACTGAGTGTTTGGAGAAAGCAGACTGGACATAGTGGATATCTCATCTCACTGATGACTTTAATTAACTGCCTTAATTTATATCGGATGTATGAGCTTCTCCAACTCACCTGTTTCAGAGGTATTTAGCAGCAGAGACTCCAGCTATAGAATGGGATTTTACTAGTGTGGGGGTGACTAGGTTGGATGCAGAGCACTGCGTTCTCTAGCTCAGGTGTGATTAACTACCTGTCTTCCACAGGGTGACAGTGTTGTCAAGTCCTGGTAACAGGGTAGGTTTAGACTAGTGTAAGGAAGAACCACCCAGCTTACGTTTCTGTGATGTAGGGACAGCACTTTGACCTCCCTGTTGTGACCAGGAGGAACAGGTTTCCTGGTGGTGGAGGGCGTTTGAGAAGTTTGCTTTGCTAGAGTTAACACGAGTCAGTCTTCAGGGATTAGTCATGAAAGCCTTTCTTAAGCTACTATCTAAAGGCAATGAAGGACTGTGCCTGCCCCTTGGAAGCTAAAAATATGAGTCAGGGTTCAGATGAAGCAAATAATTTGCAAAGATCCCCTGTGACTGACTTTTCCATTGTATAACCCCCGTATCTCAGGTGAATCATGTAATTTAAGTGACAAAAGTCTGTCTAATCACTGGGCATAGTGACATTTTCTCTAGTCTCTATTTTGAATCAAGGAAGTTTTATTATGTGGTTTGGGCTTTTCTAAGGATATAGAAAGTGTGTATAATCCAGATTTATTGGTTTCCTGTTTTAATACAGACATTTACTTTTTCATTAAAACCTTTGTGTTAAAGCAGTTGCTAACAGCTAAGTCTGCAGGTGTGTAAAACCCTAGGCTGTCCAGAAGAAGCAGTGACCACTTAGCCATAGGTGACTGATCAGCTGTTAGTTTAGTGAAAATGCCAGCTGTGGGCTATTAAAAAAGATTCTTCGGTTGCTAAGGCTTAAGATGGGGCTCATTTAGTCCTATAACAGCATAGCTTTCTAACACATGCATAACTTTGCACAAGGTGTACATTTTTAAATATTTTGAAGCATATTTATGTTTGATGTTTTGCTGTAGAACACCTTTAGACAGTCTATGCTGTCAAGAGTAATGGCTACCTGTCTTTTGGCGGTCTACAAGTAAGTTACTTGACGATCAGAAAAGAGTCCCTGGCTACCTGACACACTCTGTCTTTGAGTTGTTAAAATTCAGAAAATTCAAAAGCAACTGTTTTGCTGTGATCACAATTATTTCTCATTTTATTTCAAATTAATTTTCTCTGTAGAAGTGCACTTATTTCTGAAAATCTTATGAAGCCAACACTTAATAAATATAAGACACTTGGGACTACTAGAAATATTTTAGATTTTTATTACAAAATGTGAGCAAATAATGCTGCTTTAAAAGGAATAAAGAAATAAAAGTGTATTGTAGTTATTTTTTTAAAACAATATAATTCAGCAGTTGTCCAGAACCATCGAGCTTCAGAGTCCAGCGTTTCGAAGACTTGGGCAGCAAGAAAGCACAGCGAGAATAAAAACCATGTTTCTGAAAGTTCTGCTGTTGGGATTTCTTTTTTTGTTTTGTTGTTTGCAGATTGGTGTTATCCAAAACTTAAATACTATTTTCTGAATGAAATTACCAAATAGCTATTATACCTGAAGAGCATCATGAAAAGGTTTAAGTATTTGGAGTTTGAATCGTATTATATTTAAACAATCAAAACAGTTGAACAAGTCTGTGTGGGAGTCTGCCAGAGTCCAGCTACGACCTGTCAAAGGGGTCTTAGGAAGGAGAGAGAGGAATGAGGAAATGATAGATAGAAAGAGACAATAAGAAAGACAGAGACACAGGATAGCTTTGGGAGGGCCCTGGGTCAGTACCCAGTCTCCTCGAGGTTTATTACAAAGGGCTTTTTATGCAATGCCATGAGACAAAAGACCTCCCCATTTTCAAGATCAAAGCACAAGGTACCGCCAAGTGTAGACCCTTCAGAACACCTGGTAACCACGCCCCTGGCAAAATCATTCCATTATGCAGCCCTGCTGGGTAAAGCAAGCTCAGGCTCAGACTCAAGAAGGTCTTACTAGGAAGCCTCTGTGGGCCTCCACAAGTCTGGGTTTAAAATTGTTCAGATCCATAGCTGGAAACATACATCTTTGTAAGTTGTCATTTTAAGGACTTATGGGGCATAGATCTTATATGCAGCTTCTCCAGTGAGTCAGAACCTGAGTACATCAGTAAACTGAAAATACTCAGAGTTCAGAGATAAAATCAACTCAGCCACTACCCACTGTGTCCCTTCCTATGGAAGTCACAACTCCAGAATTGCCACTGAGCCCAGAAAGAACCAGGCAGAATCCCCTGGGCCTAGGCAGCACCACTTCAGCCTCCTGTGCTCCACAGTACCGAGTGTGCACCATTTCAATGATGTAAGACTGTGAGAACACTGGAGGTCAGAGTTTGAGGAGAACAAACTTGTAAACTCTTAAGTCCAACTCTCAAAAGTGTCTAGTGAGACAACTTACCATTTATAATCGCACTTTGATTTATATGACGCACTGTTTAAAACTATTCTGCAAAGAAATGGAATCACCAGGACACGAGACACTCAGAGCTCCATGCCAGTACTTTTTGCTTCCAAAGCACACACAGAGCATGCTCTGTTGGCAGATCATCCCCCTATGCTTTTAAAATCTCAGAGGAAACAGGGGTGAGATGACAGTACTTGGGAACAAGAATGACCACAGGTGGCACAAGGCAGGTAAGTGGTTTCACCAGTAAGGAAATGCTCTCATATCACACAAGGTCACAAGTTCTCTTCCAGGATAGTTCATCAAAAAAAAAAACCACAAACTATATGAGCCCCTTCCATTTTATGACTTTTGTCATGTTGCTTTGTCCTTGGTCAGAGAGAGCTAGATGGTTCAAAGAATTAAGTGTCAGTCCTTATACAGCTTGAAGGCTCAAGGTTTTAAGAGAGCCTGGAGGTGCTGAGAGATGACTGAGCATTCAAGAGTGAGTACTGCCCTCGCAGAGAATCTGAATTTGGGTCTCAGTACGCATGCCAGGTGGCTCACAGTCACTTATAAACTCCAGGGGATCAGATGACTGGCATCTGCAGGCACACATGCACATAATTAGGCATAATAAGAATGCTTTGCTGAGCCAGGTGGTGGTGGTGCACGCCTTTAATCCCAGCACTCGGGAGGCAGGCGGATCTTTGTGAGTTAAGGCCAGCCAGGTCTACAGAGCGAGATCCAGGAAAGGCGCAAAGCTACACAGAGAAACCCTGTCTCAAAAAATCAAAAAGAAAAAAAAAAATGCTTGACATGCCCCCATGTGTTACTAGCTGTGATTGTATCAACTATCTGTTAACTAACTTGTAGATGTAACCAACGGTCTTATTAAATAAGAAACACAGAGCCGATTCAGAGAAGAAAGCCAAGAGGTCAGAGCTAAGAGCCTCACCCTTCCTGATTCAGGGATCCTCTTCAGCCAAGAGAGCTCTCCGAAAAGGGGCCTACTTCCTGTGTGTGTCTTTATATAGTCTAGCTGTTCTGCCTTCTCATTGGTTGTAAACCCAAACATGTGACTGCCTCGTCACTGCCTGAATGTACCGCCCTCCAGGTCCTTAAAGGCGTGCGCCACCGCCGCCATGCACTTGCTATGGCTCTAATAGCTCTGACCCCCAGACAACTTTATTTATTAACATACAATTAAAATCACATTTCAGTACAAGTAAAATACCACCACACTAACTGGTGCCTGGACTGGTGGTTGACTTACATACAATTCATGTTCTGGTACCAGGGTGGGCTTCACTACACATCCATGGGTTCCTGAAACCAAATTCTTCTAAGAATCTTAAAACATGTGCTCTGCAAGCCTGAACTGGGTTACACAGACCCTGTCCTGAAGGAGAAGGCAGATGGGGGGAGGGGGGGACAACAATGGTCTTTAGTCTACAGCACTGTACTTCTGTCTGTCATGGTCAGTGAGTTGCAGGCCGGTTCCTTGTCCCTCCTGACCCACCTGTGAGACTGGGGCACCGAGAACCACTGTACTGGGCGCTCAGATCCCAGGTTCCTGTGCTCTGGGGAATCCTGGAGTCTCATATTTCCTCTTGTGCTCCTGTCTTTCCCAGCTGCTGTTCTCCAAGGCTCATTCCCTCTAAAGTGGTTATAAACAAATACAGAGTTCCTCAACCCAGTCAGGGGTGGGTGGTCTAACTGTTGACTCAGGCGCTGTGTCTAAATTAGGAAGGAAGGTGTTCACTAATCTTTTCATTGAAATATCTGTGGTCAAAGATGGCTGTTAAGTCCTTTCCCTAGGGTGAAACTAACAGAAAGGGAGACTGCTGTTAGGCCTAGCTTTGCCTGTACTTGGTCTTGCTGGTAAAGTATTGTCTTAAGCAAAACTGACCTTTCTGTACAGTTCTACCTTAGGGGGAACCTGGACACCATGGCTGCTTTCAGAGTGTCCAAACCCTGGAAAAGTATTACTGTATTACTTCAGGTGCACATGTGTGCTTGCTCTCTCTCTCTCTCTCTCTCTCTCTCTCTCTCTCTCTCTCTCTCTGTCACACACACACACACACACACACACACACACACACACACACACACACACACACACAGCCCTTCTTGATGATTTCCTCATTCTATTAAAAGAAAAACTTAAAACTGGATATGTAGGTTTGTACGTAAGAGTGCAGTGCCCTCAGAGACCAGAAGAAGGCGTCGGGCCTCCTGCAGTTTGCAGGTGGTTATGAACTGCCTAGGGTGGCTGCTGAGAACCTAACTTCTGTCCTCAGGAAGAGCCAGAGTTGCTCTTAACCACTAAGCCTTGTCACCAGACAGATTGTATCATTTTTGTCCCATCTGTACCTGACTACAGTTTTCTCAGGATTTTATTGTTCTCTTGCTTGGAGAAATAATCTCTCCTTCCTCTACCCACAACCTAGCTGTAGGGAATTTCAATTTTTAACGAAGTACTGCATCCTGGAGTAGAGTACTCAGCAGCTGGGGCTTATTTGAAAGAACTTGGAGTGTGTCTCACCCTCCGACCAGAACCTGTAGGGCGGAGCTGAGACCAGACTCTCCTCATTGGATTTGGGGCTACTGCGTTGTAGAAAGGCCACTGGTAAACTGCAGAGCTTGTGATACATTCCTAGTTGGTTATTGTGTGAACAACCGTATAAAGGAACAGGTGGTGTGCAGTAGGTGAAGGCCGAAGCATCACAGAGCCCAGCACACGGTGAGCGCTGGGTGGCCCTCCTTTGTAACGACGACCAGTTCCAAAATGTTTTGACTTTTAATAAAAACAACTCCAAAAACATTGAAGCTTTGCTGAAGTTGTTTAGGTTAGCAAGCAATACAGGGTTCGAACTAACTAGCTCTTATGTAGTAAGTTACCGCATATTATTTGCGCTCTGCCGTGGGGTGGTACCTTCATTGCATGGCACTTCATCTCCTGCTCCCTCGGAATCTGGCTGGTGACTCCTAACTGCCCTTCTTCATCCCAGCATTCTTAGTTTGGTCACCTCGCCTATACTTCCTGCCTGGCTACTGACCAATCAGCTGTCTATTATACCAATTTGAGTGACAAATCTTTACAGTGTACGAGAGGATTACCCCACATCAGTCTTCCATACCTCCCTGTCGTAGGTCAAACCCAAGCCCATCTTTTTGCCCCAGAGCCCATAGTGTGTCTGTCAGTGTAGACAGACTAAAGACTAGTGCTTCCAGCTCTCCACACTGTCCTCTCAACTCTCGGCACAAGCCCAGGAGTCTCCCCAGAGACTCCTTCCTGCACTACCGCTGGGAGCAGAAGGAAAAGGCCATCTAAGATTATTAGTATGGCTGTTTCTCTTCAACCTCTTAAGAGCTCAAAAATGGATAGTTGTTGTTTTTATGAGCCTTGGAAAATATCTTAGGTTTAATTAACTGTGCTGCTGTTTGACCCCAGTTGTTGGAAAGGCCCCATTCATAGTTGTAAAGCCGGCTCTTCCCAGGTGGGCAAAAGAATACTGGCTGTGCCTTGCAAGCTGATCTTACAGGATCTTTAGCAGTGAAACAAAATGATTGCCCACTTGGGGTGAGCAAGGGTTCCGGCTCTAGGGGGAACCAGAACACCATGGCTGCTTTCAGAGCTCCAAACCTGGAAAAGTATTATTTCAGGTGCACACATGCTCTCTCCCCCCCCCCCCCCCCGCCTCTCTCTCTCTCTCTCTCTCTCTCTCTCTCTCTCTCTCTCTCTCTCTCTCTCTCTCTCTCACACACACACACACACACACACACACACACACACACCACTGTGCACACGCGCACACACAGCCCTTTTTGCGCTCTGAGCTGGGGACCAACTGATGTTGATGAGAAAGAACTAGCCAGGATTCTATAAATTTGGTTTCAGATCTACTCA